GAACCGCATCAAATAAGTAAAAGTGCAATTCAATATACGTACTTCAATTCGTTATTATTAATGTCAAAAATTTCGATTCAGTTCTTTTTATATGCTTAGGTTTGGTGCGGTTTTGCACCAAACCACACAGTTGTTTAGCTCAGTTTTATTTATGCTTTGCTTGGACGGATTGAATGTGTGAAGCTCTAGGTAAATTTTAGCTCATAACTAACCCCAAATAATTGTTTGCAAATTAACTGACTGAAAGAGTGGATCAAAAGTAAATATCAGTGCAAAAAAATAATTCAAATATATCAAAGTAACATGCTAAAATTTGATGACAAAATTATGAAAACAATAAAAGGAAATATATAAGAAACTTTTTCTTTATTTTTAGATAGTATTATTCAACTAAATTGCTGTAGTTCACCACTTATTTTAACGCACCTAACCGTTAAGCCGCTTAAATTATATTTTTAATTTAATTTAATTTTATAAGTGAGCTTGAAGGAAGGAGAGGGGTTTATATTGTTGTCACTTTGATTTTACTAATCAAACCGCTTGAAATTAGTTTCATAGAACCAAAATACGGCGTTGAAACTTGTGAGTTAAATATTGACCGCTATTTGTTAAAGCTCCGTGAAAAAGATTAAAAAAATTGAATTTTTTTTTCAAGGTTTTTAACATATATACGTACACCGGAAATAAAATATAATACTCTAGAAATAATGTGTGCAAAAGCATCATAATTTTTAGCATAATTATGCAATTTTGTTAGAAATATACTGCGACTTTCCTAATGGTTTAATTACGTCTTGTGTTGCAAATACAGCCACAAAAGATCTGTGAACTTGAATTCCTTAATTAAAAGTGACTTGCCACCAGAAAGTATACAGCTGCCACCAGAATTTATGAACAATACTGAAAATGGAACAGTAATTGGCACAAGTTGTGAGACTAAAAATAAATGCACAGACAAACAGTTGAGTGCGCAAAAAGATTTACATAGAAAACCATATCAAATTTAAAAATTGAATTCAATTCCATCTCATGTCGACTAACAGAACTTCTGAGAACTTCTGAAAACTCAATCCACACAAACACAACAATAGATAAACTACTTATTGATCAATAAAAAACAACTTTAACGTTCAACAAATCCTTGAGAAAATAAAACAACAAAAACATTGAACACGGACAGCACACTATTATACTGCTAATAACTTTCTGCAGAAACAAAACCAACACAAACAAATAGGAAAGTATCGAAAGTATAACGGTAACACAACCAGTAACAAATGTAATAAAACCCAGAAAAGAGAACGACAACAAAGATTTTGGGCGCCAGCTCTGAAGCAAATGCCTCTTGATTAGAAACATTTCCTGTGCACAATTGAAGGGCCCGATTCGTCATACTCTGCTTTTGCTATCCACATCTACACACAAATATCAAGGACTCATCAACAAAAACGCATTTTAACAAAGTTTTGCTTGATTATAAAACCGTATAGTTACCTTCCAAATGTCAAAAGGGTTTTGTAAATTTAAAAGCTGCTCGTTCTTTGGGGGACTTTAATTACTCGAAAACAAAAACGAAAGGCAAAAGAAGAACTCCCAAAAACTGTTTTGCATCACATTTACCCACTCCATTGGAGAAAAAGAATATTGTCCCATAACATTTACAGAAATAATACAGTTAGTCCCCCAATTTTTCTAAATTCCAAAGTTGAATCAAGCTCTAGAGATATAAGATATTTATGAATTTCCAAAGCTAGAAAGTTTCTATTTTCTTCGTTATTTCCCATAATCAGATCAAACCTCAAGCAACTATCTCTAATTTATCAGAGTTCAATAATAGCATTAATTAAGTGATATTATCACTAAGTGGCCATATAGTCACTTTTTGTGGAATTATGAAATAATAATCATTTTTCCATGTGAAATAACAAAATTGCGCTTACTACCAAAAACCGTTTCTGGAAATAGTGGTTATATTTCATCTTTGCATTGACTATAAAACCAAGGGACTGTGCAACATTAATACGAATAATAAAACGTGCAAAGTGTAACAA